ACAGGTTAAAGAACAAAAATCACATGATAACATGTCAATCAATTTAGAAAAAGCATTTGACAAAATTTAACACTCACTCATGATAAAAACTCTCAGGAAATAAGAACAGATGGGAGCTTTCTCACCTTGATAAATAGTATCTACAAAAACCTATGCACACAGTGATATGAGAAAAGGTCCTCTTAGACCTACTTTACATAGTACAAAGAATCATTCAGAATGATTTAAATAATCATGCAGAGCTGATTCTACTAAGAGATCACAACACTCTTGACACCATGCCCTGCAAACCCTTTTTGTTACACAAGAAGAAAAGCTATGATCTGCCAAAACTCCAAGAAGGGCCCATTGATGAGGTGTGCATTTCTGAACTCCTGCTAAGGACCCACACGCTGCAGCGTTGAGGGGGAAGTGTCCTGAGGTCTCCTGGGAGAAAATGCAGCAAAAAAGAATGTGAAGGATTGATGGATGGATGAACAGAGGGACAAAGACATGGAGAGAGCTCTCATAAAGCACAAGGAGTAAATGCCAGGGGTAGAGTCTAGGTGGTAGGTATGTGGGTGCTCACTGTAAAATTCTTTCAACTTTTCTGTATGTTTTAATTTTTTCATAAAAAAATGTAGAAAAAGGAAGCTTTAGTCCAACTCCAAACAAAAGAAAAAATGACTTCTAAATTCCTACAGTTCAATTTAATGTGTTTTTCTTTTTTAGATTGAGACAGAAGAGCAAAACAAAAAAAGGTGGGGGGGAGAAAAAGGAATAAGTACTATTCTAAAAGCTACAAATTCCACCATGCAGTTTAATTTCATGATGACGTGACTAAAGAATATGCTTTAAATCCTAGATCCTTGGAGGATACCAGGTCCATAGTCAGTTCTGAGAAAGCTCCATACCTATGAGCAACCAGAGCTTCTAAAGAAAACCCCATTCATGAAAGCCCAACCTGAGTCAGTAAATCGGGCTTTGCACTGAGCAAACAAGGTGCAGTTACGGTTCTGCTTACCCACCTATACCCTTGGGTACCTTGATGCCTACGTAAGAGGAGTAGAGGGAAATGAGGGGACAGGAGAAACAGAAAAGACACCCAATTCAGAAAATCACAGTAACAAACATTTTCAAACACTATGTGCCAGGCACTGATTTAGGAGCTTCACAGCAACCCTCTGAGTAAGTACTTTGTTAATTATCCCATTTTACAGATGAGGAGCCCAAGGCAAGAGAGATAAAGTGAATTTGAGCAAAGTCTGAGATAAAGCCAGGATTAAAACCGAGACAGATTGAGAAACTTCTGCCAGTAGACCTGGAAATGGTAAAAGAAGATCTTCAAACAGAAAGAAAAGGATATCAGATGAAAGCTTGGATATAAACAAAATCTTGAGTGCCAAAATGGTAAATAGGTAGGTAAATATAAAAGACTTGTTTTCTCTTTTTAATTTGTGGGTGAGGGGCAGGTAATTGCCTATTTAAAACAAAAACAAAAACAGTATTGTGAGGCTTATAACATGTTTCACTTTTACGTATGACATAGCAGCACAAAGGACGCAGGGCAGATAAGCAGCAGGAAGTCATGGTAAGAGCTCAACACCACTCAGGTGGTATTAATATCATTTCAAGGTGGACAGTAACAGTTAAATATGCACAATGCAAACACCAGATATGGTATATATAAGCCCAAATTATCTAAACATTCCAAATAAAAAAAGAGGTTATCAGACTGAATAAACAAGCAAGACCCAATTATATGATGCCTACACAAAATGTGCTTTACATATAGACACAGGCTGAAAGTAAAAAGGTGAAAAAAAAGCTATACCATGCAAACAGAAGAAGGAGAAACAAAGAATATTACCAGAGATAAAGGGGGCTAATTCATCAAAATGACATAAAAATCCTAAAAGTGCATGTACTTGATAACAGAGTTTTAAATTACACAAAGCAAAAACTGTAGAACTGAAAGAAAAAATCCATAACAATAGATTTTTCAATACTCCTAGGAAAAAAAGAGGAGCTAAGCAGCTAGCCTGCTCTTTATATCTCTCCATCACAATGGAGATGCTCCAGGGAAAGAAAAGAGACAGGTGGCTGGGTCTGATCTCTCTAGAAAGTTAAGACAGACTTCTTGGTAAATAAAGTACTAGTACTATTTGCTAGGAGACGAGTCTTTATCTACAAAATGATTTTAGCAAGATATTGCCAATTTAGGATTGCTTTTGGTGAACATACCTAAAATCTATGGATTTATGGGACATGGCTCCCTGGAAAAGGTTCCATAAGGTCTATAACTGTCTGGCTATAAAATGGAAATGTTGCACATCCTAAATGCTCCTCACTGTGTGAGGTGACTACACACCTCACTGAGAGGCCTCATCTCTCACCCTCGGCCAGAAAGGAGGTGTCTAACACAAAGAGGACAGACCTGGGGAGCCCCACACAGCCCCACATCTCTCCCTGCTTTGCCCGTACTCCTTGATTACTTGCATCCTTAAAATTAGTAAGAAACTAGGTACTGGGTAAAACCTCTCATTCCTATCAGTCTGATGTGATAATCCAATCTTGTGTGTTAGTTCAACTCCACTCCAAATAATCAATGAAACAAGTAGGCAGAAAACTATTTCATGTCAAGAATACTTGAATGACACTATCAACTAACTTGATCTCATTAATAGAGCAGCAAAATGTACATTCTTTTCAAGTGCACGTGAAACATTCAACAGGATAGATTATTTCCTGGGCCATAAAACAAGTCTCAACAAATTTAGGAGGACTAAAATCACACAGAATATGTTCTCTGACAGCAGTTAAATTAAGTTAGAAATTATTAGGAGGAGGTATTTGAAAATCCCCAAATATCTGGAAATTAAATAACACATTTCCAAATAATAAATTTTTTCCAAAGAAAAAAATTACAAAGGAAATTAGAAAATATTTTCTTTTTTTTTTTTCCTTTTTGTCTTTTTTACTGACTGGTAATGGGATCACAACCCTCGGTGTCGCGCCCATACCAGGGAGGGGACCGGCAACGGAATCGCAACCCCCGGTGTTGCGCCCGCACTGCGCTCAGCCAGTGAGCGGGAACCGGTCTCCACATGGGATCCGAACCCTTGGCGGGAGCGCCGCCGTGCTCCCAAGCGGCGCACTCTCCAGTGCGCCACCGGGCCGGCCCAGAAAATATTTTCAATTGAATTAAAATGAAAAAACATTTCCAAGTTTGTGGGATGCAGCTAAACAATGCTTAGAAGGAAATGTTTGAACACATATTATAAAAAACAAAGGATATAAAATCAATGCTAGCTTCTACCTTAAGAAACTAGAAGACATAGAAAAGCAGATGGAAGCCAAAGCAAGCAGGAAAGAGGAAATAATAAAGATTAAAGCAGAAATCAATGCAGTGGGGAAAAAAACAGAAAATAAATAAATGAAACCAACAACTGACTCTTTGGAAAAAATCAATTAAAATCCAATTAAATTGATAACTTCTGAAAAGACTCATCAAAATAAAAAGAGAGAAAATACAAGACACATTTCAGCAAACTTCTAGGCGACAGCTAATACTCACTGGCCCTTACTACATGCTATGCAACAGCATAAGCCCTCTGCCTGACCTATTCTAAGTGATCCCACAAACAACCCTATGAGGTCGGTACTATTATTAATCCCAGATACAAATTATTTCTATATATCACATTTATATGTATGTCTATGCAAGAAATAAAAAGCCTGAATGTGCACACCAAACTGGTAACAGCGGTTAACTGTCAGGAGGAAGGTACACTTGAGATGGGCAGTCAGATGGGATTTCCACTTGATAATCTATGACAAGAAATAATAATCTTAATAATCTATAACACTTAATAATCTATAATAAGAAAATATTCATTTATGCTGTGTATATTTTTGAAAAAATGGAACGAAAATGCATCATTTAAAAAAATAATTACACAAGATAAAGTAAAAAACAAAGAACAAAAATATCATTTTACTTGCTCAAATAAAAGGAATAGATGACTATAAATGCCAGTCCATGATAAAAAAAACTCCTACAACTCAAAAAGAAAAAGAAAAAAAAATTTTTTAATGGGCAAGGGACTTGAATAGATATTTCTCAAAAAAAATATACAAATGGCCAATAAGCATGTAAAAAGATGCCCAACATCACTAATTATCAGGGAAATGCAAATCAAAACAATGAGATCTGCCTCACATCTATTAGCATGGCTAGTATCAAAAAAGAAGGAAAATCACAAGTGTTGGTGAGGGTGTAAAGAAACTGAAACTTCTGCACTATTGGTGGGATTGTAAAACAGCACAGCCACTGTGGAAAACAGATTGATGGTTCTTTAAAAAGTTAAACATAAAATTACCACATTATCCAGCAATTCCACTCCTAAGTATATACACAAAAATTGAAAGCAGGGATTCAAACAGATACTTGTAAACCAATGTTCACAGCATCATTATTCACGATAGCCAAAAGGTGGAAGCAACCAAGTGCCCATCAAGTAATGAATGGATAAAATAAATGTGGTGTCCTTAAAAAGGAAGGAAATTCAGATACATGCTACAACATGGATGAACCTTGAAGACGTACTAAGTGAAATAAGCCAGTCACAAAAGGACAAATACTGTATGATTCCACTTATATGAAGTACCTTGAGTAGTCAAATTCATAGAAACAAAAGCAGAATGATGGTGCTGAAGGGTGGGAGGGAGTTAGTGTTCAGTGAGTACAGAGTTTCAGTTAGAGATAATGAAAAAGTTCTAGAGATGGAAGGTGGCGATAGTTGTACAACAATTTGAATGTATTTAATGTCACTGAACTTTACACTTAAAAATGGTTAAAATAATAAGTTTTGTTATATGTAGTTTAGCAAAATATTAAAAATCTTTTATATTTGAGGCATTCTATGACCAAAAAGAAAAAGATAGTCCATCTACGGTATTTAGAAAAGGAATGTCAGATCAAGCTTTGCAAAGCACCGAAACTCAGAAGATTATAATACCTGGTTGCTTGCCCCACACCCAGCTCTCCAGGATTGATTTGGCCCTCTGTACAGGAGCAGGAGTTTCTTCTTCATCTTTTTTCTCTTTGTCATTCAGATCTTCTTTCTTTGTCCCACTTTGAGCATCAATGCCATCATCTAGAGATTTAAAAATGTTTAAATCTGTAATTGCTTTTCAAAATGCAACAGCCACTTGTCCCTCCCAGAAATGGAAAGTTACAACACACATCATTAAGTGAATGCTTGATTATTCAAAAAATAAATAAATAAATAAATCATAATTATAAATGGTCCAGTGTGATTTAGTTAGTAATGAATGACCCTTTTATTTACTTATTTTCCCTATATAAAAAGAGGTTTACTTAGATGTTAGAATCATCTAGTGATTGAACAAGATTGGACATTAAATGCTCCTGGCTTCAGGGCTGAGCTGCAGAGCAGCCACCACCAAGGACTCATTTGGATTTCCACATGCAACAGGGAACAGCTTGAAGAATGACCCTTTTAATAAAGAAACCCAAATACCACTCAAATTCTTTAATTTGATGTGTCTTCCAAGATTATATTCCACCAATTTCCTACTAGATTTCACAACTGAGAAATTTAGTCTTTGCTATTTACCTATTTGAATTTCACACTAATTGCTTTTATCCAGTGATTCCCAATTGCTTGTGTGTCCATGGGAGAAGGGAGGATGTGAAACGGGCGTATGATTCAAAAATCATTTTTTAACTCTATACAATGCCCTACTCCACTGCGAACTGAGAATCATTGCTATACGGCATCAATACCACTGAAAATATAATTTGGGAGTGTTCAGACACAAAAGAAAAGTTGAGAACAATGACATTAGACCACTGACAATTTAAAGTTTCAGTCAAGAACAACTGCCATAAACTCCTTATATAACAAGTAAAGAGAGAACTAACTTAACCTTGGAGTGCAAACACACCCTATCATAGAAAGCTCTTACTAAATAATTGTCTAAATGACATAATTAGAAATATATATCTAAATTATGTGAAAGAGATTATATCACACTCAGATTACAAACAGAAAGGAGTAACTAAAAATTTCTAAGGAAACTGCTCCTCTACTCTCAATACTCTGACACTAAACGTGGATTTTTTTTTTTTTTTCGTGTCCGGCAACAGATTGCAACCCTCAGTGTCGCGCCCGTACCGGACCAGGACCGGCAACGGGATGGCAAACCTCGGTGTTGCTCCCACACCTCGCTCAGCCAGTGAGCAGGAACCGGTCTGTATGTGGGATCCGAACCCTTGGCGGGAGCACCACCGCGCTCCCAAGCGGCGCACTGTAGCAGTGCGCCACCGGGCCGGCCCTAAACGTGGATTTTTACATCGAGCAATTCTTCCATTTTCTGTGACACCAACTGTGTGCTCAACAATTCAATTTAATTCTGACATTAACTATCTGGAATTAGCATGGATCTCACAGGTTAAGGGCTTAGTCCTTAACTGAGTCCGAAACGCTTAAGTGGCTCCTCTCTTGTTCGCAGATATATGCAACAAGCTACTAGGCATTAAATACGAGGGTATTTCAAAAAGTTTGTGGAAAGATTCACATTATCTTTTCATTTTATTTTTCCACGAACTTTTTGAAGTACCATCGTATAGATGTTGCTGTAATATGAACATTTTAAAATATTACAAATGTAAAATCATACAATACCTCTAAATTAAGCATTACAAATTTAAGTCATAGAAAAATTCAGGATTGGAATCAGATTCTCAACCCTCACTGTACATCAGAAACACAGAGTAAGGGGGGATGCACACACATACACACACATTTTCAACACCAAGCCCGAGTTTTATCAACGCCTGAGATTCTGATTCAGTGGTTTAAGGTATGGCCTTGGCACAAGCATTTTAAAGTTCACCGGTGAGTGTAATGTGCAGCCAGGATTAAGGACCACCGGCACAGAAGATGAAACTTTACTAAGACAATGCAAATACAACTCACCAGAATTGCAAGGGTAATTTTCAATATCACAGCCAGCTTAATAAACTAAGGCCATGAAGAAGTTTCAATGAAATTCAACATGTCTTAACACCCAGCATATTCAAACCACTTTTACACAAAAGTAAAAAGGTAATGTCCATGGCTCTAAAGAAACTTTAGAAAAAAAACTATAACACACACATAACTAATCAATACAAATCAGGCTTTGGAAAAGGTCATGAGAAAAGTGTCTAGGTCCAGGGAGGGCAGCCGAGAGAGTCTGGAGGAATCCCACCAGAGCAGTGAGCTGTGTCCCAAGGACTGGAATGCAGCGTAGCCTGGACCCAAGAGGGGACTAGGAAACGTATCCCAGGTGAAGCAAGAGCAGGGGTCTGATCTGCAGCAGAGGAGCACCTACCTTGACCTGAGAAACCAAATGCAAACTTAAATAAGTCTCATTTAGCCTCTTATTTTAACATGATAACACGGAATGTGTGAGAACAAAGTAGAATTCAGAAGCTTAAAAAATGAGATACATTTAATTCAGAAATCACATGAAAAAAAGTAGGACACTAGATAAGGAAAACAAAACAAACAGCTAATGTAAAGTGAAAATAAGCTAATGTGTACATATGGCCCAACAACTGTAAATTATCTTTTAACTCTTTACAAACAAGGGGGCTGGCTGGTTAGTTCAGTCGGTTAGAGCACAGTCGGTTAAAACACCAAGACCATGGGTTCAGGTCCCCATACTAACCAGCTGCCTAAATAAATAAATAAACAAACAAACAAACAAATAAATAAATCTTTATAAATGACTTGTGAGGAGGAGGCAGCCTTTGTTGTCTCCACATTACCAAGGTAGAAGCTGTGGCTCACAGAGCTTGGGTGAGAACACAGGAGGCAGCTCTAAACGTTGGATTCTGCACAATCCATGGGGTCCACCAACCACAGAACAGGGTTCCAAAAGTGAAGACAGGATTTTACATTTTTTAATGATTGAAAAATAAAGAAAAGTAATATTTTGTGACATGCTAATATTCTGTGATCATTACTCTTTGGCGTCAATGAGTAAAGTTTTATTGGCACACAGCCATTCCCATTCATTTAGTGCTCTCTATGGATGCTGAGTCACCACAACTGCAGGGCCCCACAATTACCACAGACATCATGTGGTCCACAAAGGTTAGCATATCTGCCCTTTACAGAAAGTTTGCAACGCTCACTGTATACCGTGCAATAAATTATATGAATAAAAAAGTGCAAAACTTTTTTTTTTTGTGTGTGTGTGTCTTTTTCCGTGTCCGGCAACAGATTGCAACCCTCAGTGTCGCCCCCGCACCGGACCGGGACCGGCAACGGGATCGCAGCCCTCGGTGTTGCTCCCGCGCCTTGCCCAGCCAGTGAGCGGGAACCGGTCTGTATGTGGGATCCGAACCCTCGGGCGGGAGCGCCGCCACGCTTCCCAAGCGGCGCACTATAGCAGTGCGCCACCGGGCCGGCCCCAAAACTTTTAATTTTAAACTCAGTAAACTGAAACATCATATCATCTTCTTCAGGGTGAAAAGCTTTGACAGTCACTGGGAAGCAGACAAGAAGCATCACTAAGTACACCTAAAGTTTTATTTGCAGGAGCGTAAATCAGAACACTGTATATAACAGCAAAAGCAAATGAAGTCATTGGAGGTAATGAAAACAAACAAGAAGAATAATTAGCATCATCAGCTCAAAGAAAGCCGGCACACTGGCTCCAGTGCTTATCTCTCTTTTTCACCACTTCATGGCTCAAAGTTTACAGAAAGCAAACTGCCAAACATGCTGCAAACTATGGAATGCTGGGCAGAAGGGAAAGCCAAGAGGGCTGACCTTCCTAAGACCTCAGGCAATATCCTGAGCAGCCACTAAGGATGGGAACAGGGGAGCAGATTCCAGGCACTTATCCCTGAGGATGGAATGAGAACTGAATGACTTCAGGACTTTAAGACATTCTTGTTCAGTTGTGGTGAGGAAGTTTGTACAAACCACCCAAAACAATTTATGTTCAAAGCACCATGGCTAGGCCTAAGAGGAAGAGGAGTAGCAAAGAGAGAAAGCTCAGGGTACGGGGCAACGGTATGAGGCACCCCCCCACCCCCCCCCAAGAGCAGAAGCTGTGTGCATCTCCACAGCTGGGGGATGGTCAACAGGGGCCACAGCAGGAAGGGCATACCTACAACAGCCAGGACTACCACCAAGAAGACATGTGTTCTGCTGTTAAGAGGCTCACTTATGTTTGCTTTTTAGTTTAATCACTGCCTCTAAGTAAGCTTGCTCATTGTCATTTGCATCTCAGAAACAGATTATGAAAATACCCATGGGGCTGGCCCGGTGGTGCACTGCTACAGTGCACCGCTTGGGAGCGCGGTAGCGCTCGCGCCGAGGGTTCGGATCCCACATACAGACCGGTTCCCGCTCACTGGCTGAGCGAGGGGCGGGCGCGGCACCGAGGGTTGCGATCCCGTTGCCGGTCCCGGTCCGGTACGGGCGCGACACTGAGGGTTGCAGTCCGTTGCCAGACACGATAAAAGACAAAAAGGAAAAAAAAAAAATACCCATGGATAACTATTGTTTAGTCAGGGTTCTCCAGAGAAACAAGCAGCAGAATGTGTGTGTGTGCACATATGAGGGCACTTCAAAGAGGTCAAGGAAAGATTTTAATTCTCTTTCAATTCCATTTTTCCACAAACTTTCTGAAGCACCCTCATATATGTTCATTTGGGGTGAGGGTGGCTGTTTAAGAAGCTAGTTCATGACTCTGTGAGCGTGCAAGTCCAAACCCTGCAGGGCAGGCCACAGGCTGGAGATGCAAAGAAGAGCAGTGCTAACGGCTGGTTCTGGGGGCCGTCTGCTCCAAAAGTCTTCTTGCTCAGAGGAGCTCAGTCCTTGTTCCATTAGGCCTTCAACTGATTAGGTGAGGCCCATCACTTTATGGATTTAAATGTTAACCTCATCAAAAAAATGCCTTCACAAAAACAACCAGAATATTTGACCAATATCTGGGCACCTTAGACAAGCTGAGTTGACATAAAATTAACCACCACACTAAGGGTCCCAATTAATCAAGTACTTGTTAAAAAGATACTGTTCATGTTTCCTGGTAACACTAAAAATTTTTTCTGTTTACAAAGAAGTAC